TTATGCTAGGGTGAATCAAACCCTGGTCAAACCACTGAACGTGAAGAACCAAAGTTGTGCTCAGTTTCGATCTCTTGGAGTGGCGAGGCAGCGTGGAGCCTCAGAACACCAAGCTGTGAGATGCGACCTACAGTGCTTAAGTCCTGAAATAAGCACTGATGACAGACAGTTATCTCCTTACAACTCTGGGAGCAAGCTGCTTAAGAGAGCAGAACCAAAGAAGCACATTCTAGAATGTCATAGGGCAAATGTAAGTACATGTTCTCTGCCCGTATTCAAACTCACATTTCCACCCACCCAAGAGTAACTACTGCCAAAGGTTGACAGTGGCCAAGTCATTTAGTAAGCCCCATTCAACCTTGCTTCAGCCTCAATTCTTTGGCCTTCCACTGGTTCAACCACCCCTGTACATGTGCCTAAGTCATTGTTCCAGTTCAGTCCTCCAGCATTACTGTGCCTCCGCCCTGGGGTTTTCCTTTGATTTTACTCTTAACCCCTAAATGTGCCTGTCCTCCTTCTCAGGGGTGGCCATTCCACTTTTTAGTCTGGAATCCTTTGTCTCTATCCTCTGGCCTTTCCTTTTTCCCTCTGCTCCAGCCCGCCAACCTTCCTCGCCCACTGTCTGCACACAGGGGCAGGGCGGCGGGGCCGGGGGTGTGGTCCTTCTCAGGCACGGCCAGCCCAACCACAGCCAGTCCCGCTCCCGGCGTGGGCAGGGCACCTCCGCGCCTGTGCCCGTGCCTAGAATGCTAGTGACCCAAGATCCTTCCCCAAGTCTAGGGCACATTCTCTCCCAGAGAGCACAAGTCAATAACTAGCAAAAATTCATGGTATAAAGAAGGAAGAAGGAATGGAAGCATTATTGAATAAAGAAAGAAAATAACTAAGTTTTTAGTTTCCTTATACAAAATGCTTATCTGCTCTCTAGACCCCAATCCTGACATAATTCCTAAAATGGAAGACTTGTAAGAGCACCTCTCAAGAGTGTTTGGGTAAGTCCCAAAGTCTTCTTGACTTCTCTAGTATGGCTGATTGAGTACATGTGGGGTTGCCTTAAGAGGTCACTGAGTGCACCCTCGGCTTTAAACAGTTTCATGTACAACCACTTCAGAGAGGTGAGAGTTCTCTCATTTTTAAAGAGACCACTTCAGAAGAACAAGCTAGAGTCTCATTAAATAGACTGTTCTGATGACTAAATCCCTCCTTGCCAAAAAGTTCTCCTTTGAGTCTAACTTAAATTCTCCAAGCTGCACTTCAAATCCTTGGTTTCCTCCTGTTCAGATCTGGAAGAAGACAGAGGCCAGTAAGGGCGTTGGCTCCCCTGGCTTCTGCCCACATTCGCACTCAGACATGGCGCATTCCTTCAGCCCTGTGCGGTGCGAAAGCAGGACTCTTTTCATTCTGGGAGTGCCCAGCGATCAGTGTAATCTCCCGCCCATCACAGGGAGTTGGTGCTGGCGTTTCCTGGCAGTTTGTCTGTTTACGACTACGGCGTTCTCCTTGTTGAGACTAGCTATGTCTAAGACTGAATGACGCTACTGGCAGTAACGGCTCACAGCTTCTCACAAGTGTTCCTTGTCTCTTGCTAAAGCAGACACTCCAGCAATCTACTGACACCTAATATTTTCTCACTTTTTTCATCTTTTAGTCTCTCATCATTTCTTCTTAAAATTTCAACAGCAACAGCTTAGCACCCTTGACTTGAACTTGGGCCTGGTGGTGGGCAGCACCCTAATCTCTCCTTTGGCCTCACCCTATTCCAGTTCCTCCCTCCTCTTCTGACTTTGTTTCACTTTGCTTATTCTATGGATCAATTTTTTTAAATTAATAAATTCCTCTTCCCTCCTTGGTGCTGCAGTGTTATCCATTCTCTCTTTTCTCAGTTGAAGCTACAATAGGGTCCTCTACCCTTTTTGTAAATCTTCAAGATTTCTGTTTTGCACAAGTTGTATTTTTTCTGCTATTTTTCTGTCCTTTTTACTTTATATATTGCTAATATGCCTTGCTGTTCTGTCTTCAGCAAGATCTACATTTTTTAACATCTAACTCTCAAGGCCATTCTGTGACATGTGCTCGGTTGCTATTGCCACCATCAAATGAGGAAACTGAGGCTCGGAGAGAAAAAGCCGTGCCACACGTGCAAGGCCAGGGAGAAGGGGACTCGGACTTGTCCCTTCTGAGATACATTTTCCTCACTCTGCCAGGGCTTTGCCATGGTCCCCTCCACCCCCATGCGCACCCCATGCTTCGACAACTCTTCCGCCTGCCTGTCTGTCTGCCTGCCTACCTCTGTCATGGCAGGGGCTTCTCACTTCCTGTTGTCTGTCCTCTGCATGCCTTTGCTCTTAGGACTCATCCCTGTGGAACACTGTGATGAAGTATGGCATCAAATATACTTCCTTTAATCTATGAATTTCCCCCACCTTTCATAATATATTGCTTCCTAATGCTGTCTGCATACTTCATTTATTTCATGCTACACATCACGAATTAATAAACAACCTACACCACACACCAAAGCTAGCTGATTGCTTTCAAGAATCACAAAATCCCTTAGACTTAGCTGCTGTGAAGCATCATTTCTTCCCTTGATGTCTCCTATGGTTCAGTCTTCTGAGACCCTCTCACTCCCTAACTTCCTCTCCTTAAACTTCTCCCCTGTCTGGTGTTCAACATGTCATCTGGGCTTTTCCACTTCTGGCTTTTGTGGCAGGGACCATCCATTCCTTTGACCTCTGGTCCCCACCAGAGCACACGCTCTCCCAAACAGCGTCTCAGTGCTCACTTCACATGGCTGTCCCTGCCCGTCCACAGGGTGACCTCAAACCAAGCAAAAAGGTTTTCCAGGGTTTTCAAATTTCACAATTCTGAAATTCCTATTTTCTAAACTTTATCCTGGAAGGAAAAGTAGACTGAGAATCATGTCACATGTGGTAAAGGGCAGTGGGCAGGGCCCATGGGAAACGGCAAACCCGCCCAGGACTCCAAGGTAGCGCCTGGGCTGGGCACAGGTGGGGGGGGACTCTGAACCAAGGAAAAACACTTCTGGGAACCAGTCAGCAATGACAGCTGAGGCTGGGTGACCCCTCACCCAGGAAAACTACCAATAATTTGAAGTTGGTAAGGGAGGAGACATTTATACCACTTTGAAGGCCTTTGTGCTGTCTTTGCTCTCCAGGAATCAGCCTGACTTTCAGTTCTCCAAAGGATGTCCACGGCCACGCTGGCTGTCTGGCAGCGGCAGGGATTTCGGGGAGAACCCACAACTTTATCCATAACCGCCCTCGCCGGCGTCCTGACCCTGATGCGTGGGCTCTCAGTCCATTTACATGGCTAACCAGCCATTTCTTTGGTTCTTGGTCCTTGAGACCCTCCCTGTGTGTTCGCAGGCGAGTTGTGAGCACACGTTTGCCAGTGTAATACGTGGGGAGAACAATATCCATGGCACTAGGTGCTTCAGGGGCTAAACAAATGTGGGGACGTCACCCCCACAATCACTATTCATGTGACACCTTTGCAAATGTTTATTATATATCATGTCATTGACTTAGTGTTTTTATTTAAACTGATTTTTTAATTCATACAAATGTGTTTTAAAAGGAACCTGTGTAGTGGTACAGTATATGGTAAAATCACTATCACTTGCAATAAATAGAAGGCAGTCTTAAAAATAAATGCATCAATTAAAAGAAAGCATGATCATCTGTGTCCCAACTTTGGGAAACCCTGAACGACATACACAGCTTTCCTGAGTACAACAGAACAGGTGAGCAACAGTTGTCATTTCTATTCCCATCCACTTTCCCATGTACAGTAGCCATTTTTTCCTAGGGCAAAAGAACTCGTAGATGTACTTGTTTTCTGAATTCATCCACACAAAGTGGCTTTAGCCACCAACATTATCTGTTTGTGCTATTAATGGTATTGCTAAATTAAAGAAAAGGATCATTATACTCAGTCAACTTGGTTTCTAAGACACGTGAAAACATACCAAATGTTTTGTATATATTTATATGAAATTCTCAGTCATTGCATATTCTTAGTTACTACATCCGGATTTCTCCTATGCTAAGGTGCTTTTCATAAGCCAGAGAATTTCACGCACATTTTCCCTCCTTGGCTTTGGGGCTTGTGTAACTGATCCACATTGACCCATTCTACCTAATTTTATCTGCATATCCTTCATGATATTCTTTGTGCTAATAAATGGCTCTTAATATCACAGTTTTTTTCTTTAAAAAATAGATATTCCAAGGAACTTCTGACTCATAAGTTCATGAGAACATGGTATAATGAAAAGTGTCTTTGAGTGAAAACTAGTCTTTGAGTCAGAAATTGAGTTTAATTCTGACTCTGCCATTTGACCTTGGTTAATTTACTAAACCTCTCCAGGCCTCTGTTTTCCTGAAATAGAAAGGGTGAGTGCAGCACATGTAAGCTAACCAGTGTAGCTCCTGCAGACGGTTCCATACACAGCCTTCCCTTTATGGAAACGGTACGCAAATGTGTGCTAACTAGGATTTTTTTAACATTTAAAAATTCCCATTTATCAAATTTTCTATTTTCAGTTGAAGCTGACATTTAAGAACTAGAGATTAGAGGGATTAACATAAAATGGCCAGATGTTGTTCTTTCTAGTCCCAAACTCTAAATAGCTCTATTTCCATAACACATAAAATGTGTAATTTTCACTACTTATAGTCCATAAATTTGATATTCCTGCATGTGCACTGAGGGCAGGGGAGAGTGACGGAGACACGTCCCCGGGCAGGGGCGCTCCTCCACTCTCGTGCCTTGCTGGGCATGTGGTCTCAGCACCACGCAGACCTGTGAGTGTCCACCCTCCTTCACACAAGAGGACCTAACCAGCTGACCTCTCTTCTATATTTCCTTGACAAGACGGCTGAGGGCAAACAATGGCTAGGATGACTCGTGTTATTCAATCACTATCTTGGAAGGACATAAAGAGACAGAGAAGGATGCCCGCTGACCCGACTTACCCACTGCTCTCTCACTCTTGGAGCTCTGCTGTCCTCCAGAGGTGGTGGAAAGGTCCTCAGGGACAGGCATGGGCTCGTCACCATCATCTGGAGTGTCGCTTGCCGGGGGGCTTTCCTTCCCTAGGAGATAGGAGGAGCTTGAGTTTCGGGCCATGGTCATCGCCAGCAGGGAAGTCCAAGGTGCCTGGGCTTCACCTTGGCTCGGCTTGAGAGGGTGGCATGAGGCCGTGGTTACTGAATTGAGTTAATGCTTCCCTACTGAGGTTAACATACACTGTTCTTTTTATAAGAAAAAATTAATTGCGCCCCCAATACAAATGTGAAAGAACATAGATACGCAAAAGGGAAAAAATGAAATCACCTGTAATCCTAGGGATTACCACTTCTAACATTATATTTATGTATTATAGATTATATGCATTGATGTATTTTGTATTTCAAAATAAACTAGCTTTTAGACTTTCTCATGAACATACTTCCACGCCAGTGACCACACGTTTACAATTTTGTTAATGATGAGTACACTAGGCTTGATTGAAACCCTTATTTTTGAATCTATATTGTTTTCAATCTTTTTTTATTATTAAACAACACTGTGTTGAACATCTTAATAGCCACTCTTTGTACATATCCTCTATAATCACTACAGCATAAATCTTCACAAATTTTGTGGCTGGGTGAAAAGGCATCGACATTTTTAGGGTTTTTCACACGTTTTGTCAAGTTTCCCCTGTACGGTTGTTCCGATTCGCCGCACAAGCTGGCCTTGCCACACCTCCATAGTGATTTGCTGTGAGGACACCACACGGGGCATCCGCACATAGCCGCACAGTCTGGGGTCTGTTCACTTTCTTTTCAAGAGCCAGGGAATATTTTACCAGCTGCCTAATTTGACTTAACTTAGTGGGGAGGAGAAGCTTGGAGAGGGAATGGAAGGGAACCCTCGTGCCTACTGGGAAAATGATTCCCTCCCTGCAGGCAACGGAAGTCTGCTAATGAAAATTCTTCTCTTTGGAAAAGGAAAATAACATATAATCCACACAAACACGAAAGTTGCTTATACTATACACAGCAGGATTTACCAAATGAATTAGGGCCTTACAGGATGCCTATATTTACTTTGGCTTAGAGTAAATTTGACCAGCGTCTAGCGATGGGGGGCTCACTCCCACTCCAAGGAACCCACTGCGGGGAAGCCAAAACGGGTAGGAAATGCTCTTTTCCCATCAAAGATGAAACACCTGTAGCTTCTACCCTTCCAGACCTAACTAAACTTAAGAGTTATGAGACACCAACTGCATACAAGAAACAGCCGGTAAGGACCCAAACTGACACAAACTGATCCATTACGGTGGCTGTGGAAGACCAGCTTAGATAAGATCCCAAAGGGAGTCTAACAGGACAGCAGCAAACTGGGACTGTGTGCTTGCTGACTGAGCTGGCAACTTGTCTTACCAGGCAAAATGATGTGCCCACGTAGACAAACCCAGCGTTTTGGGAGAGTGCGCAATAATAAATCAAATGTTTAAAATGTGTTGAAAATATGACTAAGTATGGTGTGAAATTTCCTTGCTTGTTTGAATAAACCACCCACAAGAGTGAGACCAGCATTTCAGAAGACTAGCAAGACTAGGAAAATCATCCCCAATATATGAAACAACTTTTACTGGAATATTTAAAATAGAACTTGCTCAGGCACCAAGGCTATGCTTTGGGGAATAGTATAGCATTCTCTAGAAAACAGACATCACAATTTAATATTCCAGTTTAGCTGTAATCACCACAATTGGCATATTTTCAGAAAGAGCATTATTGGATATATTTGGATAGCCAATACAAAATGAATAGTTAAAGACAGGGCAGGATTATAAAAATTTCCTAAGGAAAAACAAAAGGCCAGAGAGAAATTGATTGAAAGTGCTCATGTTATGTTGAAGCCTTGGAAATGTGCATTAAGTCAGTACTATTTTCATTGCCCTAAACACTAATAGAAAACTTTAAAAGTAATAATAGCTAAATGTCTTAGTGTTATTTTTTTTTACCTCTTTCATAAATGGGGGGAAACACTGAATAAGGAGAATATAGGAAATATAGGGACCATTTGACAACTCTTATTTTTGTATAACATGACTTCCTAGAGATGGTTGTCAAAAATCCAGGACTTTAGGGAGACAATCAAGGAATTCTTTTTTTTCTCTCTCTCTCTCTCTTCTTTTCCTTCCTTCCTTCCTTTTCTTTTCTTTTCTTTTCTTTTTGTTTCTCTTTTCTTTTCTTTCTTTTCTTATAAGAATAACAAAGTAATTTTACCTAGAACCTTAATATATAAAATAGGTCTTCTATGTAAAACATGGGCATTGTAAGGCAGGGAGGCTGGAAGACCAGCGACTCAGCCTGCTTGCCTTCGTGAAAACCTCCTAAAGTACCTCCATAGAAGTGACGGAGGAGCCCCCTGGCCTAAGATGCTGCCCAAAGATTAAACCCGCAGAGGGTGTGTGGGATGTGCACATGTGTCTCTGTGATTAGCCAGCTGTCATTATTATGAGGTGCAGGTGGGAGGTTGAGAAACTAAAGCTTGTTGACTTTTTCCCTCATGATCTTCCCTCTGATAACTCTGGAGTAGCATGCACTACTCTGGGACCCGTAGACGCTACGGCATGCTGGAACGAAGGCAGGGTCATAAAGAGTCTGGACTTACTCAATGAAGGAATGCCAGGCTTCCTGCAAAATTCATGCCCAAATGCGTCCGAATAACTCTTGATTACTTTTCCTTAAAATTTAACTGATCTGTCTAATGAGGGAGCAAGATCCACTACAAAACACTGGGGATGTTTGTAGTAACAGACATGCTTCTAAAGAATTAAATCTGTCTTGGGTTTCTACACTGAATTAAATGCCAGTTCTCCAGTGTCCCTAATCTTGCATTTACTTCAGTATTTTTTATTTTTCTCTATGTGGCAGAAAAAAAGGAATAATGAGAACAGTAGGGATCGTGATTCTAAAGTACCAAGAGTCAGATGGATCAATAGGAACTCTCTATGCAGAGGGAACCACACGAGGAGAAGGGAGAATAAAAATCAGTCTTGCTGTGTACAGGGGCATCTAGCAAAAAGTCAGAACTGGAAGGCAACAAAGCTAGATAGATTCATATGCCCACCCAGAGCTCTGCTTTAATTCAAGCTTGCCTTGCCTTAACTCGGCACTAGTTCTCAAAGGCCATCTGATTTGCCTAAAAGCCCCTAAGTGTGAGTCCAGGTTGCTGAGACATTCGTCACTCCACTCACTCGAGTCTCTGTGCCCAGACACCCTTGTAACTTTGACTGCTGGAGGTCCCAGGCTGAAAATTTGCCACTTCGTGAAAACCTTCACAATAAGCAATATTTTTATGTGTTGATTTTAAACAAATTTGCTCAGTTAACCACTTAAAATGCAAAACCATGCAAAGATGATAAATTTAAAAAATAAATTATTAAATCAAGTCAATAGATTCTCACTGTGAGTAGGAGTCGGTTGATCTGCGATATAGTTCAGGCCAATCAACGTTAAGACTGACAGGCACACCAGACACTGCCCCTTTTTAAGATTCTTTCCTCAAGTGGAAAAGGGAGGCTAAAAAGCAGGATTTGGGCATAGCTTACAGGGTTATGGTGAAGATAAAGTAAAAATAATGTGTGTGAATTCTAGCTAAGAAAGCTTATGGCATTATTTGGCAAGCAGTAACATATTATGGAAACATAAGGCATGTACAGCACTAAGCTCTCATATTTTCTCTAAGAGCATGTTCAATGACACACAAACACACAGAGAAACAAGACATCAACTATTTAAATGGAATAATTTTAAAGATGCAATGAAATTTCACTTATCTAGAGAAATGAAAGAAACTTATGGCTAAATTATAAATATACTAATTTATATTTAATCTACCTATTGCCTATGTTTCAAATAAAGCATTACCTATGAGAAGGGTTTTGGGAAAATTGGATGGGAAATTGCATAATTAGCTTATCAAGGAAATAATTTCCCAAGTAGATTATAATTCACCCAACAAAGTTCTGTGATTTCCCCCTTTCTCGAATGCATGAGTTTTTATTATATACAATTACCCAGGGGAATATAATTCCCAGGTAAATAAAAGCTAAGAATATAGCATCTGTACTCTATAAAGCAGTGGAGAAGCTTACACTGTAGGGTCCAAATGAGGCTCACACCCCAGAGCGATCCATGTCTCCCAGTGGTACTTCCAGTCAATTACATAAATTCTCTGAGTGTTAGCTCCCTGAAAGTTGGAGATGCTAACTGTATCTTCTTCAGTAGGTCCTTGAAATTAGAAAACACTCAGAGCAGTTTTTGGTGAATAGAAGCATTCAACCAATGTGATTTGCTATGATTTACTATGATTAACTAGATAAAATATTCCTATTGACACTTCAGTGTATATGAGCCTTCTTCAACTAAGCAAATTACAATCTGTCTACAGGGCACACGTCTGGTTTCCATATCCCAACACAACACACTGCAAATAGCATTAATAAAGTGTCCAGTAGATATTTAAGGTCAGAGGTACAGAGGAACCTAAGGACCCAATGGCCCGAGTCCCCCATGTTAGAGGTGACGAGTACAGTGGTCCTACAGCGGGAGGCAGAGAGAGGATACAGGTCTCTCAACTCCCATATCCTGCACTGTCCCACAGGCTCTTTCTTTACAAATCAAGCCAAAAAATAACGCATATTCATAACAAGTATTTTGGAAAGACTGGAGAGAGAGACAGAGAGAGAGAGAGAGAGAGAGGAAAAAAACTTTACCAAAATAATTAGTGAGATGCGCCCTACAGGAAAGGACAATTTGCTCTAGATGTGCTATCCTCCACTGACAGACTTACCAATAGCATTTTCCAATCCCATGGATTCAAGTCGGTAAACACTTACGGAGTATCTACTGCCTGCAAGGCACTGTAAACTAGTGCACAGTTCACATTTAGGATAAATCCCAAGGAAGAAAGGACCAAGTGGTTTGAAAAAGGCAGATATTAAGTATTTCTCTGATTTTCAAGTGAGCATTTCACATATATTAGGTTGAATCCTATGAAATTGCTGATCTTTGAACATTTTATGCAAAAAGAGGATGATTTGGTAACATATTCCTCAGATTTCTTATCAAGAATGTCAACTCCTGTTTGGTTAAATGTACATCCTTATACCATAACTAACTGCCATCTCTAATTCTAGAAATGAAAAACAAGTATTGGTTTTAACTGGAGAGCAGCAAATGAATTGCAAGAAGTAGAAAAAGCATCCTTTAAATCTTTACTAAAGGGGACATAAGTCTTTAAATGCTCTCATTGCTGTGTAGACCACTGAAAGTTGAACAGAAATCAAAAGTACTATGGGTACTTTAAAAATAGTAATTCCCTTGCCAGGTTTATAAAAACTAAATTTCAGACCAAATCTTTTCAAACAAAAAAAGAGTCTTCCTTTTTAGAAAGTCTTGGGTAACAAGGCCTCCCTTCATTCTTATCCCTGGTCCCAGCTACTATCTCCTTTAGATAGTCAGAATCCAGAATTTAGTATAATGGTTAGGACCAGAAAACTACCAGAGGAAAATGAGGCTTTTGTTAGTTTTGTTGCTAAGATATGAGATCAGAATATTGACTGGCTGTTCCTAACAGGAAACATTCTAGAGATGGCCCTAGGCTTTGGCATTCGGTTTTGACACTAGCACATCAGAGTGTAGACTCTGAGTCGACTGAAGGAGTCTCATTCTCTTTAACATATTATGCAAACGCCAGTTTAGACACTACCCAACGTGAGGGCAACATTCCTGAAAGCAGACGAGCAGACACATGAGAGCATTTCTTCTTGTCTTTGGAACTTGTTAACATCCCAGAGCTTTTTTTTGACACTCTAATCACTTCTAGTCATAGTCCGCAAACCCAGTGAATGAGACCCTCCTCCGTGAGCAAGGACCATAATCCTCACC